AAAAAAAAAAGCAAACAGTGTTTGTGAATTAGTTTTTTATCGAAAAAAAAAAAAACCAAAGTCGACGCCCTTTGCTATCTTTGATAGCCCTATTAGCAACAGATGAGGTTTGGCTGCTAAATGGCTCCGGCTTCGCAGTGGAAATGATATGTGTAAACTATGTAATGAAAATGTTTTAGCCAAGCTGTGTTTAATTTTGTATCCTGACGGAGCGCATGAGAAACATGCCTGTGCTTAGCTGTCTCGTTGAATCATATGGATATAATTTCATCCATTTACGTTTTTCTGCTCTTTGCTGTGGTTGCCTCGGGGCATTTGGAAGCAGGCAGATTAAATGCACATGTTCCTCTTCGCTCCACAGCCTCCCCTTCAGAGCAGATCCTGAAGTGTCGGTGGTTTTTCCTCCTGGGTCGGAGGCACAGAGAGACACCTTATAACCTCTTGTTTTTTTGGTTTTTTAAGGAGTGAAATTATACAGACTCCTGGTCTGGTGACATGACTTCCTTTATATCGTGTTGCTTGACATTAACTGGATTGATTGACCTAAAATGGAAATTGTTTGTGTGTATAAACACCTCCATCCCATCATGACCTGAACATCTAATCTCCAATAACCCTAAAACTTTGATCACACTGACTTACCAAGGGGTCCTTTGACCTCTGACCTCTTTCTGTGACCTGAGTTGCAAGAGAAAGGACAGTTGTAAACCTCTGCTGAATCTGCATGACCTTTACTTCAGCTGTGCTCTTCATGGATGTTGATCCACCTGGTCCGACCAGAGCTCCTGTACAACTAGACAACACTGATCAGAAAAAAAAAAACTCAACAAATTTTGGGGGTCTAACGTGACCATTTTGGGGGAAGTCTATCGTGGCCGTAGGTCTTTTTTAGTAAGTCTTGATTTTGTTTTTGGTCAGAATAAAGTACTGTAAGGCTAGAGTGTACTACTGCAGTACCTTAGCAACTGTTAGCAACTGACATATTACAGACAGGATTACATTTGGTCCGACACAGGTGCAGTCGTCTGTGTTGGTTCTCAGTCATCGTCACGGTGAAGAATTGACTTCTTGATTCTCAGGCCTGTGGGTTTAGTTTTTCTATCTCTCTCTACCTAAAACCTTTGACCCTGTTTCCCGTCCCCACTCGTCAGCCGCCATCTTCCCCCCCGACACCCTCGTATAACGGCAGGTTTGTTTGCATCATCTCCAGCTCCGGCGGGTTGTTAATGAGCCGAAAGCTGCACACACTGCTGCCTTTTAGCCACCGCACAGTTTGGCCTTCTCCCTGCCAGTCAGGAGTCATTTCCCATGAAGGGCTCAGTCGGACCTGCGCCTCCACCGGAGTGCACGCTGCGCCCATAATCTGTCTGTTGTGATCAGCTGCCCGTCCAGCCTTTCAAGCTGCCCTCGCCCCCTCCAGCCGCGTCAAGAAGCCGCTGTCGTGGCCAATGTTTGTCGAGCCGCTGATGCTCCCGCCCCGACACTCCGTGTCAGAGCGGAGTCGAATCCTTCCACGCTGCCACCGCTGCTACTTTCACTCAGTGATTTGTCAGTTTACTTTAGACGGAGGTTTACAGAGAGGAAAACTAAATATGTTTAAAGCAATTCACGTGATTAGTGCCTTCTAAACTGTTTTCACACATAATTTCAAAGGGGAAAAAAAGCTCTCCGTTTACTCCCAGTCAATCTGTGTGTTCATTACCTTCTAAACAGGTCATTTAAAAAAAAAAAAAAGGCAGCTCTGTATTGACCACATCGTAGATGTACTGCCATCTACTGGCAGCTATTTCTTCTTTATCAAGGTGTGTCAGGTTTGATTTGACTTTAGTGAATCTTTGTTCCTTTCCTGCAAAAAATATTCAAAATAGTATTTATAGCATTGTAAATAAAACAACACTGAAAGCAGATTGTTTTTTGTAGCAACCAGTAGACCAGAGGTCACCGACGGTATGTGACTGTCCAGAAGTTTCTGGTTCCATATCTTCAGACACTCATGCGTCCCAACATAATCACAGCTGCTTGTTTTTATGAACGTTGTATATCGATAACGACCTGTTTTATAGAGCGACTACACGTGAACGTTTCTGTTCGTCTCTCGTTGATTCCGGCCTCACTCAGGCCAAGAGAACGTTCTGCACAAACACATCGGTTATTTCATTAGTTTTGGAGCAGAATGACCTTATTAAAGTTGTCATTAAAAGTTGTGTTAGTGCTTTCACTTGTTCAACTAACATTTAAAAGAAAAACCAAAAGTGCAATTTTTTTTTTAGTTTATTGCATTTTTAGGAAGTGGACTAACCTAATTAAAAAATTGGATTTGTTTTTTTTTTTTTAATCTCATGTGGGAATATAAAACAGAATTAACTTCAGTGAACTAGTATCACATATCGTCAACATCAAAATCTCTGACCTTATAAATAGAAATAATCACTGAAATTAACTACGTGAAGAGGAAGGGCTGGCAGCGCTGAGTTTGATTCAAACTGACAAAAGTTT